ATGACTTTGTCATCACTTGGAAGAGTACCATGAATAAAACGCCACATAAACATAGAACTTCTAGTAGGAATGCCTTTTTTCCAAACAAATTTTTCCTAATCAATTATAGGATCACATCTTCTAATTAGCTCCCATGCTGAATTAAGAGAGAAGTGACCATTCATATTACAGTTCCAAATTAGCCAATCATCCTCATCTTCAATGAAGCATTTAGCTTCCTTAATTTGATTCATGATACAAGGAGGGATATTTTGACTTGTATTAAAGTTCTTTGACCCATCACAATTAAGAACCTGTTTGAGAGTAAATTCTTCAATCTCCACCACCACTATATTATTTATTAAGGGGCCTGGACCCAACCAGTTATCATGCCAGAATGATACTTCTCCTCTTCCCACAATCCATTGGTAGTGTGATAATGCAATTTGCTTCAGGCTTATCATTTCTTTCCAGACTCCAGTATAAGTTCTTAGCATAGAAAGTAGTGTGAGAGGAGTGTTTTTTTATGTACTTTGATTGAATGAAGTGGGCCCAAATATTGTCATTTGATATTAATCTATACCAAGTTTTAATTCGAAAAGCCTTTATTATGTTAGAAATTTCCCTTAACCCAAGGCCACCTTCATTTGTAGGCTTGCACACCTTACTCCAACTTATCCACTGCATCCTAGATCCAAAATCTAAATCACCCCAAAGAAAACTAGCAAACAACTAATTTATCCGTTTAATGATAGCTTTAGTGGGCGAGCAAGCACAAAGAATGTGCATAGGTAAACTTTGCAATACATGGCGGAGTAAGATTAACTTTCCACCAGCTAAAAGAGATTTGGCTTTCCATCATTCAATTTTTCTTTTGATTTTTCCCACAATCTCATCAAAGTCTCTAGATCTTGGGTTCCTTTTACCAATTGGAGCACCCAAGTAGATGAAAGGGAGATGCTTTTGAGTAAAACCTGTGACTTGTTTAATCATACTAACAGAAACAACCCTTATCCTAGGGTTCACTATAAAACATGATTTCTCCTTGTTCACCAGTTGTCCTGAGGCCTTTTGATAAACATCAATGAATTGCATTAAATTTTGTAAACCTCTTTTCTTGCACATTGAGAAGATGATAATGTCATCAGCGAACAGACTGTGTGATACCACATTGCATCATCTTGGAAAGACATAGTAGGGGACGTGCCCATTTTGAAATATCATTTTCAACCCTCTACTAAGAACTTCTTTAGCAATAATAAAGAGGCTAGGGGACAAGGGGTCTCCTTGTCTAAGGCCCCTAGTAGAATGAAAGTAACCAGTTGGGGAGCGATTAATGATTATTGAGAACCAATAATTATAAATGCAAGGCCGAATTAAATCAATCCAAATGCTATTAAACCCAAAACTTTGAAGGGCTTTGAAAACAAACCCCCAATTCATTCTATCAGAAGCTTTAGCCATGTCCAACTTGAAGATCACATTACTATGCCTGACCTTCCTACTGATTTCTGTTACCATTTCTTGAGCCAAACCGATGTTGTCACCAATACTTCTCCCCTTGACAATAGCACCTTGTTCCAAAGATATTAATTTCGAGAGAATAATTGCCTGAGATAGGATTTTTGCATAAATTTTATAACAGAAATTACATAAGCTTATTGGTTGAAAGTCTACAAAAGTTCTAGGTGCTTCTTTCTTTGGGACAAGAGCAATGAATGTAAATGTATAGTACCTTGGGAGAGACTTGGTATAAAAAATTTCTCTAATTGCATTACACACATCATTGCCAACAATTTCCCAACATTTAGTAAAAAATATACCACCAAACCCATTTGGACCAGGGGCACTTTCTAATTTCACAGAGAAGACAGTGTCTTTAATTTCTTCGCAACTTGGAACCCGAGTCAACATTCGATTATCCCCATTGGTTACAAGGCAAGGGATAGTTTGAAACAAGTAGTCATGGTTTTCACACCCCTCATCAGTCAACATTCTTTCAAAGAAGCTAATGGCATGGTTTTTAATAGCATTCTGGCAAGTAATTTCCATACCATCCTGCCAAATTCTATTAATTGAAGAATAATTTTGTTGAGCTCTAATAGATGAGAAAAAAAACTTGGTATTGCGATCACCATCCATTAGCCATTTTTCGCGAGATTTCTACCTTATAAAAGCATCTTCTTGAGCAAGACATCGGTGGAGATTGTTGTTCGCCAGCCGCAAATTCAATTTGTTATTCTCTGAATTGTCCAATTGGACCCTCAGTTCAGCATTTGCGACATTTTCTTCTGCTGCCTTTGCATTCTCAAAAATATCACCAAAAACATTACTATTACAGTTTTTTAAACCATTCTTCAACAGATAGAGTTTTAATATGTTCCCATAATTCATACCTGATGATGTAATTACAACTTGCATAAACGGCTGTAACAAAACAGGAACCATTGGATCTTTTGTCTATAATTTAATAGTAATGCATCGAGTCCTAGAGTCCACTAATTGGATTTGGAAATCAGATTTTCCAAAAATCCAAATCTTACTATTTTTATCATTTCCTGTAATAGAGAAATCCATCTCAATTTTCCCCGCTAAATCTTGAGCTTTAATAGAAGCAATAAATGGTTCTAAAATAATCACTAAGGAAATTCTATGAACTTGAATAAGTTTCTTTAAACATCATACCATTTTTTTTGGTTGGCTATAGCTTTGGAATTCCAAAAGAGAGATGTAATCATGGCTAAAAACAAGGCGAAGATTGATGCCACTCATCCATAGCCTTAACTAGCTTTCTAACTCGTCTCGATTTCACCTCCACTAAAGTTGGTTCAACCACCAGTTGGCTTGGTTCATGAGAGATAGGGGTGTCTGCCACAAACGATTATTGTAATTCCTCCGGCACCGGCAAACTTTCACTATTAGTTGGCAAACCGTCAAACTGAGGCCCTTCATCATCACTCTGAACAGTCTCATACACTCTTTGAACAACTTCTATTACTTTCGTAGCAAGGTTGCTATAGAACCTCCTTAGGTCCGTGGCATCAGCTCGTATTAAATTAACTGAGTTTTTGTTAATAGTGTCTCCGTCAGCAAACCTTGGTCTCTCTTGATGGCTTTCAATGACCCTATCTCCCATGATTTCCAAGTGATCATGAACATTAAATTCAGCATTCTTTGCATCCGTTGGCATGCCAAACACCTCTTGTAGAGCATCCTCGATTGCTAACTTCATCTTCTACGTAATATTAATTAAAGCTGGGGAGGAAGAGACCTCAACAACTAGGCTCTAATCTAATTTACTTGGTGAGCTAATGATGCCAAATTTGCGGACATCACCAGTCTGTCTCCACTTTTGGCATTCGATCCATCTTGGTATCGTCATCTCCTTCATTATTCCTTTCTCTTCAAGGGAACCACCATTCTTTCTTCTCATTGATTCCTCTGTTTTCTTTAGTCGCTTTATTTTCCTTTCTACCTTTTTTCATTTTCTTACATTCTCTTTGGACATGGCCAATCTTACGACACTTGTTACAATAGCTAGGGATGTTCTAATAAACAATACTTTGGAAGAAACCATCTTTCCCCACACCAATCTAAACCTTTTCCACTAAAGGCTTGGCTATATCTACTTCAACACAAATCCGAGCAGTCTTAGCCATCGTACACTGCAAAGTAGCAATATGGATTTTTAGTACCTTACCAACGTTGCTTGTAATCGATTTTATGAAATCCTCCCCCATAAAGATAAATAGGCAGCTTTGGAAGATTAATCCAGATAGGGAGGACGGTGGGATCTTCATTAGGGTTAAATAATGGAAACCACTTGAAGAACCGGAAGAAGAACCCCTTGAGATAAATGACCTCTCTAAGCCAAACCTTCAAAAAAACATTCTTCCTCGCATTGAAATCGAAAGAGAAGGTGTGTGAAATCAATCACAGAAATGGCCACCTCTTTTTGCAGAACAAAACAGGCCAAGAGATTTGATTTCCGGTATTGAGGGCCTGCCATGCCATATGAACACTTTGCAATCAATGAAAACCTGAAAGATTTATAAGCTTTCTCAATTTCAACGTCAGAGAAAAAAACTACAAATTCATCCCACTGGATGAAAGAGGGAGGTTTAACTCCAATGTGAATCTGTTCAAAAGCACAAATTTTTACAACCAGAAGCATAAGATCTTGATTTCACGGCAGATGACGACGGGCCCCACCGCAGCGTCCATGAAGGATGGAAGACAATGTATTCCCACCACCTAGCAGTCAGACTTTAACCGGCACTGGTTCAGATCTCCCATACAGTACTGGACTTTTTGCTTAACTTTAATTGTTTTTCTTAATTAGAAAAAAAGGGGGGGGCAATTCTGCCTGTATAAGTGTATTTATTGATCTCCTCAGATCCTACTCAAGAAACAGTCCACCTACGTTCTCCAGAGCTAAGAAACGTAGCTTTCAAATGATAAAACCCTTTTTCTTTTGCAAGTTGCTGAATGGAATTGAAAACCGTGCAAGATAGGTCACTGAGCCTGAACCCCCCCGGTTCTTACCAAACTACTTCATATATGTTTGACATCAATGCAATGCTATAGATACAACAGAAAACGGTAGTATTGATATATGAGTTAAAAAGAAAACGGTCTTTTTTTTTGTTTAAAAATAATGCTGTTAAATATGACGTTTTCTTGAACGACAGCAATATTTTTCATTTGGTATTGGTGCTTTATATCTGTTTTTAACATTGATACTTATTATATCACTACCACACCATATCTTCATTAGTAAAAACAAATTCCAATATGAAAGAACTTCAAATTCAACGTTGCTTTAAATCACGCCTTCTCGTTTTTACAATTGGCTACCAATAGAATGTTTTATCTTGTTGAATGGGCTGGAATCGTACAATGGACTTCTGAGTCACCTTTACGCTCAATAAATGGGTTAGACTCGTACAGTAATATCAAGTATATGCAATTATGCACGCTACTCTGTAGCTGTATGGGAGAGAGGGAGAGAGGGAGAGAGGGGATGATGATGAATGTTCATTACAAGGGTCCAAATAGATATGATATACAGCCACTAAAAAAGAAAAATTAGACTAATAAACGACAGAAAAAAAGCCAAAAATAGGAAAAAGAGGGAAGTACCCAAAAAAAACAAAACAATCCTTCCTCAAATATCAATGGCTAAAAGCTTTATCAATTGTTGCTCTGCTGCAATTTTCTTCTCCCAGCGAAACCTTCGCCGTGTCTCATAATCCAAAACCTCTCTATTTCTTCTGGTTTCCGGCCCGGAATTCGCCCCGCTATTAGATTCCACCTAGAAATTAGTAAACAACAAAACTCATGTACTCCCATCTCGTATGCGTGTTGCATAAAAAGAAAACAAAACAAGCAAGCTGACACTGTTGTTTTTGGCAGGGAAGCTGCCTTTCCACCCCTTCTATTTCCTCTCTCTCTTCCCCATTTCTCCCAAAGTCCTGAACTAAACCTAAAATAAAAAATGAACTGGGAGGAATGAAGGAGAGCAGTGGCGTTTTGTGTCATGAAGCTTCTTCCTTGCTTCCCCCACTTGCAAAGTTGCAATTTATACTCCTCTTGTCCTTCAAGTTCAGATATGGATAGGTGAAGACGTGTGGGGAGGGGGGATGGATGTCACGTGACATCTGTCACAAGACTCACAACCCTTTTCACTCCGCTAGTGCATAGACTTCACAATTCGAGACCAAATCAGCCCCCACAAGATTGTCTCCATAACATCCCACAGCATATTTCCGTATTCCCAATAGACGGCGGAGATGTGCTGGGATGTTGGGGGGGGGGCAATCTCGTGGGGGGGGCTGATTTGAACTCCCACAATCCACAGTCCACACTCAGTTTGTCAGTCTCTTCAC